CATAAATATGAATATAGGTGGCTGATTTTTTATTATAACTTCAATAAGAAAGCAAGATACATGTGATATACAATTCGAGAGATAGATCGGCTCTCCCAAACCACCTAGATGCCGCTAGGAAGCACTCTAGAAAGAAAACTACAGCAACTCCCTAATCAAATTATGCATAAAACAAAGTAAACATAACCTTAAATATGCTTCTCCTACTTCCTTCCAAAATCAGCCCCCCTTTCCTAATATATTTCCCTCTCCAATTTGAATTTCAATTAGGAATGCTTACTAATTAATCTCTTCTTAAATCAGCCTCACTTTCCTAATATATTTTCCTTTCCAATTTGAATTTCAATTAGGAAAACCTTCCTAATTAATCAATTCCTTAATTCCTCTTCTCGCACAATAAATTAATGTTTTATTGGGTCCAATAAAATGAGCCAAAATTTGTCCAGGTTCAGCCCCCCTTGGTCCGTCCCTCCCTGGTTTGGGGTCTGCTAGACTGCCCGGTCTAGCTCTTTCCTGTTCCGCCCCCCAAGGGCTGTTGATGTATCAAAATATTTTAGATTTATTCACATATTAAAATCCTAATAAATCTGGAATCATATCTCTTCGTATTTTTTGCTATCTCCCACCGCTTCTATTATCTTATATAAATAAATGAAATTCTTGGAGATTTATATAAAGAAACCGATTTGTCTTAGTGCTCCTACAATAGAGATAGAGGGAGCACAGATTGTGCTCAATTATGTTGTGGGCGTTCAGTGACTCCGATAAGTAATATCGTAGCTAAAGATTGTTTTTTGGATGTTGGTTTGCTGTCAGAATGATGAAAAGCTTTTGAAGAGCAATTGGAATTCTAGAAAACATCGAGGTGTGGTTGACGACAAGGTGTTGAGCTTTGGAGTTGGTCGAAGTAGGGTTTTGTGATGGTCTCATTCACAGTGATGAATGATGATGTTGAGTAGCTTGGCATTTAAAATACGATCATTTGGATATGAAAAAGCAGGTGGAATGTTTCATTGTTATGTGAGATTTGAAAAAAAAAAAATTGCAGATACCACACATTCTTATACAAAGAGCTAATAATAAGTAAACATGTGTTCTTTGCTAATCTTACTTTTTTCTATTAAATTTTCCTTAATCCAGCACAGCCCAAAGTCAAAAAACTGTTTTATTCTAATTGCCTTACCAATTCCATGTTCTGCTCTAGGGTTTCCAAATGCCCAAACTTTGTTTGAGCCACTCGAAAAGGATGTGATGAGTTTCTCCTAGATACTAAAAGTAATAAGATTATTTGGGATTTAAGCAACTAAATAAAAATAATCATAATGTATACAACTAAGGCTAAAGATTTTGAAACTTGGTGAGTTTCTTGTTGAATATTTTTTCATTCCTCCAATATTATTCTCTAACAAAACTAGAACATTTCTCATAATTCTTGTTATGATTTTCCAAAATATTCTCCAATACATCGTCATTTAAGCTTTTTGCAATGAATCTCATAACTAATCTTGTAAGTGTAAAAAATAAGTCATAAGAATTCTAGTACATTTGTACAACAAAATAGTTCAATTATTTTACTAAATAACACTTATAAATAAGTGTTTACAGCTATTTATTAGACTTCTATGCACCTCATGTACATTATTGGAATTCAATTGTTTTGCAAAATAACATAATCACACAAGTTTATATTGCACATAAAAGGAGTCTTATAACTTATATTCACCTATGCCTAACACTTAAATTCAATTATTTAGTGAAATAACGCCTATACATATGTATGTGCATCATATAAAAAGAGTCATAATACTTATACCAACTATTTGCAACACAAAATTTTAATATTTTATAAAACTACACATGTACACTTTTGTGCATGGCATATAAATGAGTCCTATGTTACATCACAAAATTTCATTTGTTTTACAAAATAATATATTTGCATGTGTGCATATCACATACAATGAGTCTTTAGACTCGTGCATTTGTTTACAACGAAAATCATTTAGTTTAATAAAAAATAAATTTATAGTCTTATAGAGAGATCTTACTTAGTGTAAGACTTGTAAAATGATGTGTTTAATTCAGAAATAATATTTTTATGTACAATTTTATAAATATCTCTAATAAAATATCATAATTATAGATTCACATGGATATGCATATTTACAACTATATTTACGTACAAGCAGTTATTTTTTGATGTGCTAGTACATGATAACTCATAAAAACTTTAAAGAAAACCTATAAAGCCTCCTAAAATACAATGCTAGGAGTATAACAGTCATAATAATCATTTTAATGATAATGAAATGACATCTCAAATCCTAACAATTAATGATGAGGTATATAATTTTCCTGTGATGAATCAAGCAACATAATGATGAAAAGAAGTACCCTTCAATGACTAGTAGTCCAGCAATTCTTAAAGAGGAGTTAGGATTTCATTATTAACAAAGTTTTGTGAACTAGGACAAAGCTTCAATTCAATGAAGGGCTATTATTGGTTGTTCGACTTGAGTCTTGATCACATTGATTGTGTTCTTTTTTCTTTTTTTTTCTGGCTTGCAAAGATGTAAAGAAGATCTTGATGGAAATTAGGATTTTTATACTTGGCAATATTTTAGCACTGTGGAAAATCCTACCTTAAATCTCTCACCAGTTATTTTAGGCGGAATCTAGCCAATTTATTCATCAAGCATGCTTGGTAAAATTTGTAGGTTTGGGCTTGAAGTAGGGTTGGATGTTGTTGTCAACATATTATTCAATTTACATATAAAAAAGTTGGAAAATCCAGAATTAATATTTCTTCTTTGAAAGGAGTACAAATATTATAATATATAATATATGTTATTTGTTGCTGTACTTAAGTTTGCTAGAGATTAACCTAATTTAGATCTGCAGTGAATTGTGAAGGAAGTAAATAGGAAAGGAAAATGTTAGTCCAGCAATTCTTAAAGAGGAGTTTGGATTTCATTATTAACAAAGTTTTGTGAACTAGGACAAAGCTTCAATTCAATGAAGGGCTATTATTGGTTGTTCGACTTGAGTCTTGATCACATTGATTGTGTTCTTTTTTCTTTTTTTTCTGGCTTGCAAATATGTAAAGAAGATCTTGATGGAAATTAGGATTTTTTTACTTGGCAATATTTTAGCACTGTGGAAAATCCTACCTTAAATCTCTCACCAGTTATTTTAGGCGAGATCTAGCCAATTTATTCATCAAGCATGCTTGGTAAAATTTGTAGGTTTGGGCTTGAAGTAGGCTTGGATGTTGTTGTCAACATATTATTCAATTTACATATAAAAAGTTGGAAAATCCACAATTAATATTTCTTCTTTGAAAGGAGTACAAATATTAAAAAATATAATATATGTTATTTGTTGGGTTGCTGTACTTAAGTTTGCTAGAGATTAACCTAAATTAGATCTGCAGTGAATTGTGAAGGAAGTAAATAGGAAAGGAAAATGATGAATTATACTATAATATAAATATTGTATTATATGTTATATGTTAGACCTTTTAGCTATTATTATAAGCAAGAGAGAGTCAAGAAGGTAGAGAGAAGTAGAAGATAAAAGATTGTAGTGAGGACCAAAGAGAAAATATTTAGGGTGTGCAAATATTAGATCATGTAACTCATTTCTAGACTAGTTAATTTATCTCTCAATGTGGTTGAATATATAGGTTGATTTTATTGAACTTTATAAATTTCTATTCTTGTTTTTTTCTAGTGCATTCCTTGTAGGCTTCGTATTCTCTGTTTTATTATTCAATTTAGACTCTTTCTTAACACCAATATTTTCTATTTTTCTTTTTGGATGACACTTTTGCTTTCTTTTTTTTTTATTGTTTGTCATCCTTTTATTTGACATTTCTTTATGTTGTAGTTCAACTAGAATCCAATGTTTAAAGTACACTACTCTATTCTAGGGCATAAATCTTATAAACTACATAATGTCACATTTTATGTATATTACTTTTCATCACCATATCTGCCTATGAACTATAAGTTTAATGCATATTATATATGGATATGAAGAGTTTCTTAACTTATTCTTTCTTATTTGTTGCTTCATTAAAGAAGGATAGGAAAACAATATAGGTGCTTTTTTTACTTTTATTTCTGATGGAGATCCAAATATAGTAGCATCATCATTAGCTTTATCCAAATTTTATAGGGTTGGTTTTGTTAATGTAAAGTCTACAATCTTCCTAGTCAGATTGCATTAGAAAATTAATTTATAAGATACTAATCCTTTTGCACAATGTCTATCCATGTTATCTTAGGTTGACCCTTCTTTCTTCCTATTTCTTCAACACAAATTGTATACCCTTAGTTCTCTATGTCTAAAACACCTAATCTATTCACTACATTTCCATCTCAACATTTCATTTTTTTCACACTTAATTTTGCTATTAATTACCTTTTTTATTATTCAACACTAGGTTCCATAAAACAGAATGGACTAGATTATAACTTTTAAAATTATTTTGAGTCCCTATTATATTTACTTTTTGCATAATTACTCAGTAAGATATTTCTCCATTTTCACAATGTATCTTTACTTTAAATTTATATTCTCATTTATATCTCTATTCTTCTATATAATTGATCAAATACGTTTTAAACTATCACTTGTAAGTAACATTTTATCTTCTAATAATATTGATTGCTAGTTATTAATATTAGACCAATAAAATCTGCACATCATATACTTTATTTTATTGTATTAAATCCTAAAATCTTTATCTTCAATATATTTGCCCCACACCATTCTTTTAAACCCATTTGATTTTAGTTGATTCTTAGAAGTGATGTCATTATTAGGGTATTACAAATTATTTTTATTAAGCCGTTCTAGAAAATCCCTGCAATGAATTCAACATCATCATGCATGAATTTATCCAGAATGAAATTTTACTTCAATATTTGCCTTTTCTTGAATCGTCTTTATCCTCAATGTCCCTTGGCTAATTTTTCTTTTCTTTGGCAGCTAACAATCATCGAAAGAAAGATCTTATAATAGGTATGCAAACATTTATCGTTAATTCATATTTCCTTGCAACATTATTCTTATCTGATACATTCTAAAAAATTGAAATGTTTTGTTTAAATTCATTTTATGAAGTTCTACTGATGATGTTGCGGTAGTTTCCATGAAGAGTTTTCTAAATCCTCCTTTCTTTAGACATTCACTATTCATGAAAAATTTCCAAATAGTCTTGTTTTATTCATATGAAAATGAAGTTTTCTAATAATATTTCTTACGTGCTTTTTGGTTTCGTCATGGGGCTTTAACTCTAAAAATCATATTCGCATATATATCTACTTTCTTCTTTATAATATATCTAAAATACTTATTATGACTTTACATTCTAATAATGTTAAGTGATAATTGTTAATAGCACATATGCAAATTACTGATTATATACTTAGTCGTTATTCTACCCTAAGCTATTTATCATTTAAACTTTTGCTCCAAATAGTGCTTTTTAAACTTAATAGATTCTGGTTGATTCATACAACGGGTGTGCTTATTAGAGAACCACATTTTTATAAGGAATCCCTTACAGAAAACTCCGCCATGTACTAAATTTAACGTCATCAAATATGAATTTATCTAGAATGAAATTTTATTACAACAGTCGCTTTTTCCTGAATCGTCTTTAGCCTATGTCTGTAAGCAAACATTTGTCATCATTTTCCATTTCTTGCGATGTTTTCCTTTTCTAACGCATGATCAAAAAAATAAAATGTTCTTGTTCAATTCATTTTATGTTGTTTTATTGATGTTGTGCCAATTGACATGAAGAGTTTTATGAAAAACATTCTTTCTTCAGAATCAATATTTCAAGCCAAACATGAAAATAAAATCTCTTATCTTATTCAAGTGAAAGTGCTGTTTTCTTGATCAAATATATAGTTAAGTGGTCTTATTGAAGATGCAACAATGATAGCCTTGATCTCATAACTATTGTGGCTTACTATTTTTCCATATTTAAAGTGAGAAATCAATTTTTTTGACTAATTACTCCTATGATGCAAAACATGCATTCTATTTTTATATTACAAAAAACTACTATTGAATACTCCATATGATTTTCTTGTGGATAAGTATCATAAGAATATAGCACCATCTGATTTAGCATCAAACTTGCCTAAATTTGATTTCACATTATTTAGAATAAAACATGGAACACATATATTTGAGATTGATTTCATATCCTACCCTTAAAATAGATATTCAGTATATTCGATGCATAGCATGTGGTATTCACTGGTTTTGCTTAAAGTATTTTGGTAGTTTATATTAATTAAGCATACCTTAGATAGCCTCAACTAAGGTTTTATTCTTTCTTTTAATAAACCATTTTGTTCCGATTTTCTAGGTATAGAAATGTTATGTACAATTTTTATGTCCCTTCAAAAAACTTTCAAATTTCTCACTTTTAAAATCTCCAGCATGATCATTATGTATGATCGAGATGCGCTAGCCTATATTCTTTTAAACCCAGTTATAAATATTTCAAACTCATTAAAGGAATCACTCTTCGGTGACATGTTGAGATGTTATAAATATGGTTGAGATGCGATAGCCTATATTCTCATGTTATAAATATTTTAAACTCATTAAAGGAATCACTCTTGGGTTACATGAACTTAACCTAGGCAAATCTTGTGTAACTATCAACCACCATGAACCATATGCATTACCTCTTAAACTTATATTACTAATGGGTCCGAATGTATCAATGTGTAATATTTCTAGGGGTCTAGAGGTGAAAATTGAATTATTGGGATGAAACAATGTCTTAACTTATATTTCTGGCTAGAATACATCACATAAATGGTCATTAGTATAATTGAGTTTTGCTAGCCCTCTTAACAAAATCTAGATGAGTACTATTTCTACTTGTGTGCATGCTACTATGATAATGTCTCCAATGTCATATTTATAGCTCATCCAATGGAGTTTTCAAGCAAGAAATTTGGATATTTCTACTAATATTGTCAGTATCATATACATAAACATTGTTAATACATTGTTCTACATAAATTTTTCCATTTATTTTTTTAGAAAAGATACCAATAAAACATCAACATTAAATTCCTCATCATAGAGTTGACTAATTCTAAGCAACTTATTTTAATCCATCCATCAAAAAGACTCTTTAAATAATAATATGATTACTTTACTAACAGTATCAATACATATTAATTTTCTTGTAGCATTGATGCCAAGAATGATTTTTCCACCATCCTTGGATTCCATTTTTATAAATTTAGTTTTATTGTTATTCATATGCTTTTGAGCAGCAACTCTCCAAGTACTACATGTCTCCAACGATCCTGTTGTGAAGGCATTGCCACACACATGTACTACATTTTAATTTTTAGAATCCAAGTTATTTATGCCAAAAAGTGAGTCTTACATTGTAATACTGAAAGTCAATTACTTGGTCATGTAACCATCTATGCATGTTTGTACACCACATAAAATGAGTCATAATATTTGTTTAAACTTTTGACAACACAAATTTTTTGTTATTTTTTAAAATAACACTAGTACCCATGTGTGCACAACACAAAATTAGTCCTGAGATTTGTACAAACCTATTTACATCTTAAATTTCAATTCTTACAAAATAACATAATTACATATGTGAGCATACTGTTAGGACCCAACCTGAACCGGTCCTAATTGGACCGGTTTGCTACAGGAGGCGAGCCCTAAGGGGGGCTGAAATGGGAAGGGAGGGCAGCATATTGGTGGGGCCCAAGCATTAATGCATGCATTGATGGGAGCTTGGGTTTGGGTTTTGGGGGGGGGGGAATTCAAATGTGGAGGGTTGTTTAGGGATTCAACATTCAATATTTGTATTGTGCCTTAAGTATTCTCCTTTTGGCTAGGGTGAGGGGATCATGAATTTGAAAAGCAATTTGAGATCTAGGGTTTGTGTTCTTGGGCTCTAGGCTTGGCTACAGATTTGGAGAGCTGTTTCTTCCTCTCGAATTGAAGAAACTTGTATCGTTTACTGTTTTCTTTCATCTATCAGTGGATTTCCCCATTGTTTTTCTTAGTTTTCCCTATTTTCCTAAGAAAATCAGTTGTAATTTGCTATTTGACTGCTGTAAACAGCAGTTAACTTCACTGTTTTCCACCCAATCTTGCTAGGTTTGCTTGCGAACTCAATTATTACCCTTGGGGTTACTTGCGAACTCAAGTACTTCCTATCACATACATCACATATAATGAGTCTTTAGACTTTCACACTTATTTACAACATTAAAAATCATTAAGTTTTGAAAAACATACATTTGCAGTCTTACACAAAGGTCTTTCTCGATATAAGATTTGTATAATGGTGTGAGTAATTCAAAATTAGTATTTGCATGTACATTTCTATAAAAATTTCTATTAAAATATCATAATTATAGATTGGCATAGGTATCTATATCTACAACAACTACACATTTATTCAAACAATTATGTTATGATTGTTTATTATTATATATATATATATAACTTCTAAAATCCTCAATGAAAACCTATTGAAAGCCTCATAAAATATAGCGCCAAGTGTTTAGTAACCATTTTAATGATAGATAAATGACATAACAATCCCAAATATCAGGGATGGGTTTATGAACTTCCATGTGATAAATCAAGCAACATAAGGATTGAATTGTGGGCTCCGAAAATTCGGCCTCGGCCTCCGCTCGCTTTTCTTATTCGGCGAGGGAGTTTTAACGAACTAAGTTCCGAGGTAAATTTTGGAAGGCAGATGGGTTTGTAGATAAGACACTACCCAGAGATTTCGCCCTCATTTTGCGAGGACTTTATGATCTGAGTTCTGGTTTCCTATAGGCGCAAGCCCCTATAATTAATTACCCCTTCCGATTCACAGAGAGAGACTTGCTCGATTGAAGGTAGTCGTGCAATCAGATCGTATATGAGAATACGTGCATCTGGCATATGAGTAGCAGCCATAGGTTTTAGGATTGGAATTGAGATTTGTGGATTTGGGAATTGAGAATTGGGTTTTGTGATTTTTGATATTTAAAATGAGAGTATGCACCATCTAGACTTAAAGCGGAATTGGTGGGGGAATGGATGTATTGGACTCCGATCCAAGATCCCATGGTATCGTCATCCCGGACCGATCGTGGTCCCTGGTCTATAGTCAGAGGAGGTAGTCGGACCCAACCTGACAGAAGGATCACCTTGTCGGGCAACCATGGGTTGCTTCGTCCTAAGGGAAACCTTGTTAGCCGGGGTTGAAGGTTTGTCTAAGGACAATTTGAATTCACCTTAGCTTACATGAGGGTTTGTGTATCGATCATATCCTATTGACGTCATATCTCAAGATAACGCCATTAAGGAGCGATCGGCTTCTGGCCATTAACGTGTACCTGCAGTGCCATTGGTGGCAAACTGGGCGGTCTTAAGGAACGTAACCACGTCCTTACTGGCAGAGATTGTTTGAGGATGGATCCAGAATGATATTTTCGACTAGGCATTTGGCTCTTGTGAAGCTAGATAATTTGAAATTTGTACCGGCAGACTGTTGCGGAGGGTGGATGGGCTTTGCTTTAAGTGTTGGAAGTAGTGTTTCATTTTTTAAATATTTTTGGGATTTTGGATTTTTGTGGATGGTTTATCTAGGATTTTGGTTTTTTTTTGGATTTGGGCTATTGTGGGAGTTTAGAGTCCGGGCCATTTGGATGCATGGGGATTTGAAACGTGTTTTGAAATGCGAACTTTGGGATATTTTGGAGGATATTTTGAAAATATTTTGTGGAAACTGCCCTCCGGTTGAAATCTGTATTCAAACACGGCCATCATCCGGGTGTTCAGGTCATTTCTTTTATTGATCTTTGAACCTTGTCCACTCTATCAGGCTGTCGAAGAGGATCGGGTATTCGGTGGCTTTGAGCCTTTGAGAGCGAATTCTTTTGATTCGCTATAAGTCCTTAAAGCCTAATGTTGAATGTATTAAGATAAACTATATCGGTACTGCATAT